ATTACAGCCTATTCAGAAGAGGAATCTTTGGAAAAATAGCAAAACAATATAGGCAGGTCTTCCTAAGTAGAGATCCTCAGAAATAGGGTGAAGAAGTGACAAGGCCCTCCACTTGAAACAGTGTGTCTCATGTCCATTGATGGGAACATATGGAGATGAAGGTGACTGGAGATTCCCAAATCATTTAGGATTTTCAGGACAGGCAGTCGCTCTCACTGTGCTTCACATGTGGCAGTGCAGTGACTTTAGCGCTAATCAAATTCAATTATAAGGCCAAATTTCATACTTCAATTTGGAATGGATCGTTTCAGAGATGGCCTGAGTTGAAACTGAGTCTCAAACAGAACATTGTTTCTGGAAACTCAAAGCTTCCCGAGTCTTGTGGACTTTTCACTGCAGAATTAACAAATGGCAATTCTGCTCTTGGACAGAATTAGATGATGTGATGTAAGCACGGTGAAAAAAAACAAAACCAACCTAATTTTTAAAAGTGCTTTTTAAAGAGTTGTCTTCGTTAAAAATTCAGGACAAGTGAATAATTTTTTTTTTATTTATATCGGTCCATGGTTTGTTTGAGAAAACATAGTGCTCAAGATTAAAGGGCAGCATTTCTTTGAAAGAATGTGCTATTGCCCCCATAAAGTACTGCTTCTCTTTTTTTGCAAAAGGTTAAGCAGTAGCTTTGCTCCCAAATTTCTCCCTTGCTAGGATTTGAGGTATCATGTATAGGTGGTAGGGGATATATGGTAATACAATGTAATGATATCCCTGGTCTCCATCATGTGAGTGGATGGAAACCTCTGCAATAGTGTCCTCTCTGGGCAGCCAGGTGTGAGCAAACATCTGTCACCATTTGACAGCTTCCCAAAGGCAGAGAGAGGAAGCCTATGGGCTGCTCCAGTTACTGTCTCCTTCCTCTTTCTGCTGCTCATCTGTGTCTGTCTTCTCCGTAATTTTCCTAATTCTGTTACCTTCCATAGAGGCAAAGTGGATTCTATTGCAGACATGTCAAACACAAGGCCCGGGGGCCGGATGCAGCCCGCGAAGTGGTTTCATGTGGCCCGCGAAGCCATTCTGGAAACAGTGAGGGAACGGCCCCCACTGCCTTGGCCCTGGCCCAGGGCGGCCGAGAGCCAGTGTACAATTTTGTGGTGGCCATCTATGCTGAAACGCGTTCAGTCTTAGCTCCACAAGGCCGTCTGGAAACAGCGAGGAACCAGCCCCCGCCGCGTCGGCCCTGCCCCCTGGGTGCATGCTGGGGAGGTGTCACCCTTTGTGAGGAATGAAGAAATGCACCATCGCCTGGAAGTGGCCAGCAAATGGCCCTCGCCTACTTCACATATCCGGCTTGATGGGCTCTGCCCTGGTCTCCCTTCTGCCAGAGACCCTCAGATCTGTCCCACTCCTGCCCAGGCCCCCACAGGCACCCTTGACGTGAATGATGTAGAGCTGGCCACGCTCACCCAGTAGGCCACACCCACTCCATCCACGCCCACCCAGTAGGCCGCACCCACCCGGCCCCTGAGGGCAACCACAATGCTGATGCGGCCCTCAATGAAATTGAGTTTGACACCCCTGTTCTATTGTATAGAATTATGTTAAACGATAATGCCGTTAATTTGGTCCTTCCAAGAATTCTTCAGATTCAGAACAGCAGGAAAGTCATAATCGTTTTTTTAAAGAATTTATGGAGAAAGTCTCCGAAACGCTGGGCGGATTGGAGCTTTGCTATGATTGGGGAAAGAAAAGTTAGGAAAAAAAAATGTTTGTAAAAGGGGGGAAACTTGGGACGCTACGTTCCCCAATTAAGATGGAAGAAAACAAGAAAGGGGACGGAGACGGGTCACGGGGTTGCCAGTGTCTCTTGGGTACGTTGAGAAGAACCTTGACCCTTTCTTTGTATCTCCTCAGTACTGTCCAAGAACAGCAAACCCATCCACACTACCATCCTGAATCCCCACGTTCACGTTATTGGTGATGACGCAGCTTGTATTGCCTATATCCGTTTGACCCAGTATATTGACGGCCAGGGCCGGCCTCGCACCATGCAGTCCGAAGAAACCCGCGTCTGGCATCGCCGGGATGGCAAGTGGCTGAACGTGCATTACCATTGTTCAGGGGCTCCTGCAGCCCCACTCCAATGAAGCTAAAAATGGGTAGGTTTGGCAGGGAAAGGCTACGAGTGCCGTTAGGAATATACCTAGCAAGGTTTAGCGAGAACAAGGTGCCCCGTATCTGAACACTTGCAGGGAAAGTGAGCCGTACAAATACTTTATCTTCTGAAATGTGACCAGGGATGCAGAGAAAGCAGAGATGGAAAGCATGCAAGGCAAAGATGTACAGATATACTAATTCATGTTAGTAAAGTCTTAATAGAATAAATGTCCTTGTTCTTCAGGTGGTTAGAGAAACAATGGCCTTAGGCAACCCTTCCCCACTCAACCCATAGAGCAGGGCTTTTCAACCAGTGGTACGGGTACCACCTGTGGTACATTGGCACCTGGCAGGTGGTACGCGACTATCCTAGAAAAGTGGTAGCAGGGGAGGGGAATGAGCTGAACCGGTGGCAGCACCGCACAAGCCTGAGCGAGAGACGGCGGGAGCTGCAGGGCTGTCCGGGCTCAGCGGAAGCGCCAGGATCAGCGCCAGGCTCCAGCTGGAGCTCGGCGCTGATCCTGGTGCTTCTGCTGAGCCCTGAAGAAGCACCAATCAGCTGGAAAGCAGCACTGATCCTGACGCTTCTGCTGAGCCCAGAAGAAGCGCCGATCAGCTGTAATGTTGCAGCCTCTCCAGGGTCTTGTGATTTACATTCAGATGCTTGGCAACTGATTCATATTTATGGCGGTCACAGTGTCCCAGGGTCATGTGAAGTGACCAAAATCTGCTACAACCACCCAGCAGACGGGGGGGGGGGGAATAAAAACCAAATCCCACTCCCACCCCCGCTGCCAATCCTCAACAGAAATGCTCACAATAATGAAAACCTTGGACAGGAGGAAGAGTGCCGCCGGGCGGGCAGGCAGGTGTCTTGCTCGGCTGTGGCTTGGGGGGCACTTTTTTCAATGCCATTGTAACTTTGAACAGTCACTAAGCGAACTGTTGTAAGTCGAGGACTATCTGTACTTTATC